AAGAGGAAAATTCCTCCATCCTCACAGAGGATCAGTCTAAACGACTCAGGTGTAGATTTACTACAAGTGCTACCAAGTGCAACGGGGCTGCCGTAGCTTTGCGCTTGAGGAAGCGTATATTAGGTCACCGACCTTTCGTTCCTTACAAGAATCAAGTATGAGTTAGCGGGTCGCAATCCACTTACTCCAAGAGTAATTACTGCTTTCCCAAGGCTAATCGACTCTTCGGTTTAAATTCTAAACTGAATTTAATTTTTTATACTCATTTTAAAAGTTTAGATTTTCCTAAATATACTATATATATAAATACATGCATAACTACTGGCTACCTTGCCCCGTACCGTATTCTTGTTTGGGTTCGGTCACACCATGCACATTTCGTGTGACACACACCCCTGTTATCAGGGTTCGTGTGACCCCGTAATAGGATTAGTCCAAACGACTCAGGTGTAGATTGGATCAGACTTGATTGTTTATATATATCACACGAGCAAAACAGCACAAAGCTGTTTGAAGAGCTCTCGCTTTCACTTTAGGTTGAGCGTTCTAACCCACCCTTTGTGTTAATTGACGCAGACTGTTTACGTCTATCCAAGTCCAAGTCATGATAGGCCGTACGCTTTAATGAGACGATTCACGAGCATTTCGACTATCTTTCCTCGACAAATACGTTTGCGCTTAATAAGCTCATTCTTATCGCCATGTCAAAATGGATACGAAAATTGGCAAACAAATGACCGAAAGCGGATATGGCTTGTGTCTGAAGGCTCTCCAGCTTTAAGAATGGGCTGCTGAGACACCACCGGGAGCGGCCCAGCCAGGCGCCTGCGAAGGTGCAATTGAGTCCCACCGTGAGACAGTATATGTTAAGCGTCGAGATCTTTGAGGGCAACGTCGAATGAAAATCTGCTTCTTTTTTTATATAACATATACAGTTTTAGCATGAAGCAACAACGCGTCGTTATAGCGGCCTACAGGCTAAAGTAGCTCCCGAGAATGAGCGCTTACGTACAGTACCAATGAGAAATGCTATTTTTGATATGAGATTGTGTAGTTAGAATCTGTTAGGGTGCTTGCACCGCCTAATCATGCGTACCGTGTGCGCTTGAAGTTCTGGTTCGTTTGCAAAGGTGAATGGGATTTGGCAAATTGTGCCCAAAGGTAGAGAGCTCGTCGCCGTGGCGGCTGCAGACTCTCTGATGGAAGCGCTAACAGCTACACTTTACATTGACAGTCACTGATGAGGTCCGGCTAGCACATATCTCTTTTGTCTTCATCTCTTATCGTATTTCTATTGAGTACGCAGGTGTCGCACCAATACAGAGTACAACTACCGTGTCGCTAGGGCCGGCTGGAGTACGAGAGTTGAAAGCTCTACAAGCGAGCCAAAGGCGATGGACTTTAGCCATGCCAGGGTAGAAAATATTTTTTTAAGCTGCCAGGCAGCTCCATGACGCTCGTAAATGATATGTATATGAGTATACAAAGCATCTGCGCCTTGCGTACCACCCCTTGATCGACTAAATGTACGAAGGGTTGGGCTTCTACACAGGACTGCCCGACGCAAGGCGGTTCACCAGTATAAAGTGAGCTTTATCGCACCTTCTGATAGTCGAGCTCAAAGGAATCCAGCTCTAAGCAAAGTGGATCTTGCTAAGGAAGGTAGGTCTCACTGCCCAGATTGTTGAGTGTCAACACCCACGTCCAGGCATTGTTAATCGTTATAAGGCCTAAGAAATTCGAGAGGCGTCATACAATTACGTACACTTTACGACTGGAAAAAGAAGAGCTGAGATGCATAAGAGACCTTAAATACGGATATTAGATCTTTGCGCCTTATGACGGAGACATGTCAGAGCATTTTTATTGTTATGTCAGATGTGATGACTTTGATATTGTGGAACGTTTTCCCGTCCTATTCCCGGATATAAGCTAGATCATATCCTAGGTAGGGCGTGTTAAATACCATGAGCAGTGAATCAGTTTGTAGTCAAAAACGTCAGGTGATACTTTATTCTCTGCTAGTGAGGCTCTAGCGGGGCATGAGGCCACATTTTTTAAGAGGCTGAAGCGCAGATTGGTGTGGGCATGAAGCTGTGATAAATTTGGTGCAGCATATAGTGTTGCCTACTGGAAGAGCAGCAATATTGGCCAAGCTCGAATCGCGAAAGCGGCAACGAGCAGTTGTTTTACACTATGACAGGATAGGACCATCGTATTTTGCGACCTCCAGAATGTATATTTGCTGAGACGGAAATGAGCAATTGTATATCGCTTTCTTCGAAGCGTGTTTCTGATGAACTTTCTGGCTTTTTAGAAGCTACTATTTCATGTGCCAGAGTCAGTGCAGACAAGTAAAAGCAGGACTACGCAATCCCCTGTGCCAATATCGTGGGGGATGGACAACTAAAGAACGCAAGTAGAGTGACCAGAACCTGAAGATATAAAAATTGTCATCACAAAACGGTACTGCTGAGTTAGCACTGCCGTCTGACTCGCCCACTGTGTGCAGCATAATACACAGGTTTTCGGGAAAAAAAGATATCCAGTCGCGAGCGGAGAAAGCGGATTAGCACAGAGGGTCGAAATATTTCCATCCCTGCCTCCAGCAAAGTCTTACATAAAAGCTCAAGGATTTGCTTATAGTGGTTGGTTGCATGAGCAACAAGGCTACGAAGACCTTCAGATGGTACGGCCGGCAATCACAGGGGAGCTGAGCTCATCAATCTCTATCATTAGAAACACTGGTAGAT